TTTAGAATGGCTCTGAGATTTCTTTAAGTCGTACCTTATTTCATTCATGTGCCCTTCAAAAAATGTTAGTTTTCCATTGAAACGTTGTTTTGTAAAGATAAAATGATTAGGGCGATAAATATAAAGTTGGGGTACTTATGCTAAAGTGAATGAAGTTTTTTGTTTATTGATGTATTAAACTCTAAACAATAGCTAAAGCTGTAGAATCTTTCTCTACGTTAAAAAAGAGAGCTTACTTCATCGACAAGAAAGTCATTGAATTTATTTCTTTAAACCTATAAACTTGTAGGATTGTGTAGTATGCACTAAAATATCGAGCTCACACGACTTCTTCCAGCGTTTCGACAAATTAATCAATCTTCTTTTTTCGAGTCAATATTCACATGTCTTTCAACCTTGTCAATTACTTGCTGATAACCTAGGTTGTTTTATTTGAGTGTCACCACTTTAGCTCGTCCACTCACTTTCTCTGATTCACTTTGCTTCGCTTCGCATTCTACTGTCTATTTGTTTAAATGAATATATGAAATGAACTCATCCACATAAAACTTCACTGAGTTTTTAATTACCGCAGTCACATAAACAAGATTTGCCTTGGAATGATATATGGAAATAAGCTGAAAGATATCATTCATAAAAGATTTCATTGTTTATCTGAATTGGAGTCACAGTCTAGGTCACTAAAAATGACTTACTTTTTATATTTTCCACATTAAGACAATATAATGACCTGGTTCTCGGACAATCATTTGAGGATAACACTTTCATGTAAGTCATTCTATCCCATACTTGAGAGCTAATGATTAAAAAAGATTCCGATAATCGGTCATTTGATAGTACCTAGTTTTACAATAACTAAACTTCAGTTATGAGTAAATTTCGTCATTCAAGTTTGTAATACAATCAGTGGGCTAAAAATATAGATCAGTATTACTAGTGTATATAAGAAGACATTTAATTTAGGTCTATGATATTCTGTTGATTAGTTACGTTTACCTGATATCAGAATAAGTAAATTCTAAGTGGATATACTTTATAATGTCTTAGGGATTAGATGAGTAGAATTTTATGAACACATGAAAAAGAGCGCCTAAACTTTCAGAAGTAGGTCGTATTCGTCAAGTATTACACTTTGTATGATCAAAAGGCTTAATATTATCAGTGAATCTAGAATTGAGAGATCATATTTTTCAAGTGATCGCGTTAACTTCATGCTGTCATACAGTCTATATAATATGTAAAGAAATCTTCAGTAATAAGTTGTATATGTTCTACAAATATGTTGTACTGTTTAGGTAAATTATTCTGTGAAAAAAATATAAGGATCAGGTTGCTTATTGAATAGTAGACAAAATAAGTTAGTTAGACACTTTTTAGCTAAACATTAGTTTTTCATTAACCTTTGTAAGAAAACAGCTATGCTAAACAATATAAAATACTTTATTCAAAGCCATTTGAATATCAAAAATGTTTAGTCACAAACACTTCTAGAATACGTAATTGTATGGCTTAAAACGACTATAAAGACGAATAATACATCGATCTGATCACTTTAGAGCTTCGATAAAAACTGTTCAAAGTACGTTGAAAGTATTGTTTTCTTTAGATAAATGAATAGACAGATAAAACAGAGTAGATTTATTGAGTTCAAAGTCAAACAAAATGGAAAAACGATCGAAACAATTAGCTTTGAGACTTTAAGAGTATATTTATTTTTCAATTCGAAAAAGTTTATATATGTATATATATACATAATTTAGTAATAATTTTAGTTACTCGCTCACGAAAAAAAACCTCAAAAAAACTTCAAGAAAATTAAAAATCATTTTAAAGAAAACTAAGTCACAAAATAATAGGGTACCACCTATTTTTAATAGATTGACTGGTTGGTATGAAAACTGAAAGTTGCAAAACAAAATTTTCTTAAAAGTATGATTAAGAAAATTCTTTTCTCTATCATTCGGATTGTCAAAGATTCATCAGTGAAGTCAGTAAATTAAAATACATGATAAATTATATGGAGTAATTCAATAATAGAGGTGTAATGTGTCTTTTAATTATTATATTCATTTGAACACGCACTTATGAAATTAATCTCACAGACAAATACATCATTTAAACATGTTTAAAAAAAATGTTTCATGGATAATGAAAACATAGATTACACATTTTTAGATGTTTTAAATGTATATCACTTTAGCTGACTGAAATATTTGTGCTCATTTCTAATCATAGCTGATGTAATCATGATCTTTGCACGATATATCGGCTTACACAAGCTGGAAATGATGACATTTTCAAACTGAAACCCAATAACCATAGAAGTTCCAATCATCGCACATTATTAGTTAGGTTGTATTTAAATTAATCTGCTTTTATGACAACTAAACATTCTCTTTATGCTGGTTTTATTTAAGGAACTTTATCTTAGATACACTTACGTATACTCACTCTAAATCCATTAATCTATAATGGAACACTGATAGACTGTAATTAAGAATCACACTCATTATTCGGTTGCTAAGTTCCGAGTCTCTAATATGACATTAATACTGCTAGAATAGAATGTTTCTAAACAATAATAATATTTTGGATTATTTTATAAAAATATTTCAACAATCTAAGATTTTTCTCTCTCACTGAAAACTAATCAAAAACAAAATAAAAAAATTCTATTTGCCAGTTAAATGAAATCATTTTTTTGTAACACTATTTAAATAAAAAAGTAAATAAACAAGTAATAAGATTTATTTTTATTATAACCAGCCCTGAAAATAGAATAAAAACAAAAATGATCTAGTTTCACTTCGACACAATCATGATGAAGAGATAGATATTCAACAAATAATAAAAGCTATAAAAAATTAATCATTCTGTACAACCATATAAGTAATTTATTAGCATCGATAAAAATAATCTTAACGAGTTCATCAGTAGTATTTATGTATGTTTATAAAAATTAACTCTTGTCATCCTACCTTTTTGTACATATATAAATTTTATGTTTTTCTCTTCATTTCCACAAGCTTAAATCAATAATAATAATAATAATAATAATAATAATAATAATAACAATCATACTATTCCACTCTTATTACCTATCTTCTTCTGATTAGCTCGAATAATTCGATATGAATAGTTTAGATTACTGAGGTTTAGACTGCTGAGGTCAAAATAACTTTTTCATCATAATTAATTATGCAAAGAATGAAAGGAAAAGAAATCGATTTTTTCAAATAAGAACTGAATTCAAAACAAAACAAAAAAAACAGAAGAACATAAATGAAATCATTCAAACTAACACAACAATGCCTCACTCACAAAATTTCAGTTTTCTGCTTTGACCAACCAACCTTACAAAAATAGTGGCATTTATTATAAACAAGGTGTAGTCGTTTGTTTAAATTAATTGATGATTGATAAATTGAATGAATCGAGTATATTGATTTGTCGTGTTTTAGTGAAACTGTGTGAGATTCTCAATAACGCTGACATTGTTTTCTAAAGAAAGAATACATAAGGTATTTCCATTTAAAACTATTTGAATTGATTTCTTTTTGAAATCTTAGAATAAATGATTTGGTTCATTTCAGTCGAAACTGGCATAGCAAATAGTTTTTCGTAAGAGAGAATTTGGAAATCTAAAATATTAGGAAGATCTGGACAATTTTTTTATGATTTAAAGATGGGAAAACTTACTACCTTTTTTGAATAGATTTTCTGTTATAACAAAAATATATATAAGATAAAAGCTCAAACCGCTAGGCATGTTTGAATAGGTATTTTTTGTAACTTTATTTAATGTCAACTTATTTGTTTCATATTTCAAGGTAGAACAGTATAGTGTTGAACTATTCAGGATAACAATCAAATTTACATTCACTGATGACCTGAAACACTAATATTGATTGAATTCGACAGATCATCGTCCAATGCAACGGCAACGAAAAAAAACATCAACTTAATGCATAATTGTCTTGATGTATTCATTTGCAAACTTGATATTTTCATGTAACAATAAGCATTGTACACAACATTTGAATGTGGCTTTGAGCAGTTTCAAAAACTGGTCTTAATAAATAGTATTAACAGTTAAGTTTTCCCATTTGAAATCATCAATCAATCATTGTTAGACCACCATTAGAAAAGTAGAAGCACTGGACAGGCATTTCGTCTTGGCATGAGTATAACCAGCAGTGCGCACCCATGACCCCTGCTCCTCGCAGGATTCGAACCCGGGACCTTTGGCATTGTGTGCAAACGCCTAACCATTGGACCACTGGGCCGGCATGTAACGGTGTTAATGTTTAACTCTGATTGATCTAGGGATTTTGCTCGACCTCACTCATTTGTCTTTGGTAGTTACTGCCTACAGCCGACAGGGTTGAACTCCATTGGTCACGTCTTCTCAACTAGAACTGCGAGAATTTCCTCACGAAGCTAGTCACTAGTGAGCACTGCTGCGATATTTTAGGGCAGAGTTTTGGAGTTTTGTGCTTTTTCACATTTGAAATCATCAATCAATCATTTTTAGACCACCATTAGAAGCTTTCATAAATAATTTAATGAACTTCCATTGATCGATATAAGACGATGAGCCAAAACATTATTGTAGATTGTCGTTAGTTAAAAATCATAAAAAATCACTAATAATAATAGTATTTGTGTGCGTAATGCTTTTAAGAATATTGGAGATGTTATTTATAAAACATTTGGACGAAAATCTCAAATTTACCAAATGCTCGGATGAATAAATCATAACATTTCAACTGTGAAGCTATGGCTTGTTGGTCAAGACACTCGGATTTTAGCTGATAAATCCCAGATACAGGCACTGCTCCAGCTATTTCGATCAGGGTTGTCAGAGTTAGTAGCTCTTAGATCTACAGCGTGGATCACATTCGAGTGTTTGGTGAATAAATTAAATTACAAGTAAAAACTATGAGGACTTGATTTGGATAGAATTAAAAATTAAAACTGTACAACACATGCAGACTTACTCGGTTCATCATCGTTTTCATCATTATCAGACTCCACACAACTAATATGTAATTCAAATATTTCTAAGCACACATAAATACTACAAAGTAAACAAAATACATTCCGCATCTGTAAATATATCGATTATATAAATTAGACCGGTTGATTTTTTTATTGGAAGATTGTTACATTCAACTAGTGAATACTACTAATTACATCATCGGTAATAGTGATTGTTATAAATATAGAGAACAAAAAATATTAATACGATGGGTTCTGTGCAAATTTCTCCGAAAGCAATTCTATTCTAATGAAATAATCCGAATTTAAAGCTTTGTAATTCAATTAATGTAACGGATAGACTTTCACCATAATCATGAGGCATAGTTCAACCTATATGTATATAATATTGATAGAGAGAGATTATATACTTGATAATTTAGTCGTATGATCTCAGACGTTGTCACATTATCTTTTATTTTCCTCCTTTCTCAAGTTTTATATATGCATATATATGTATGTGGATAGATGTGCAGATTATATGTACTTCATCTATTATCTAATCATATTGACTTTGTATGTGTTCAGTTTTTCTGGTTCATATTCAAACAGTCTTCTACATTTGTTTGTTCATTATTGTGTTTATTATCATGATTATTGTTGTTTTTAAGCTCAGGGCTGGCATGGTTCTTTGACTGGCTAATCAAAAATAAAAAAAGAATTCAGCCTATCCATGTTCACCAGCTGACTTGTTTGTTAGCTTATTTGTTAACTTGTTTGTTCGCTTGTTTTATTATTCTACTCTTACTTATTTGACTAACTGACCAAAAAAAACTTTGAGAAAATTTTTCTATCCTTAGTGAAATTCTCATTCTTTTCTTAACACACACATAGATTACTCAAGTTGTAGAAGAGATAGGGAAAATGAAGGAACAGAAGGAAGAAAATTGATGATTTAAAACAATCCTTCTAAAAATATCTTTGAAGCATTTATTCATTGTATATAACACATATGTATACGTATGTGAGTGACAGAGAGGACATTTTCTATGAAGGTGGTGAATGTGGAAGTGAACCAGCAAGACAAATTGAGGTCAAGTGATTAAAAGTAACCTATGAAAGTAAGGTTTTACTTGACTTAATAGAGTCTGAAACATATTCACAAAAACATAGGTTCGTTTGTGTAACAGAAAAATGACATTTTCATTATTCTGAATAAGCAAACATTCTTTAAGTGTTTTAAATAGTCAACAATATGATGATGACTGTTTAGCAATGTAAGTTTTCTGTGGGATGAAAGCAAAAGCAAATAATATAAATTCGACAATGATAAGTGAGTGAGTAAATCCCTAATGCAGAAGTTACTGAAATTATGACTGATGGACAGACAGACAGATACAACGCAGAACTTCGTACGTAAGTACATCAGTTCAGGTTACCATACCACATCAGCACAGAGACGCAACTGTAAGTTCAAATCCAAGAGCGACAGCGATAATAGAAGTATTAGCAGTAATGGAGAAGATTATAGATTCGATAGGTATAATTCAGTGAAAAAAGGTTAGAAAGACAAAGGTAGAGATGCTGATGCATCCAGAAGATTAGGATTTGAGAAAGCACAACGAATGGATGCACTTGAACCAGTGCAAACGATTTTGAGCCATGTCATTCAAGGTCTCTAACCATTTGTGACTTTCGTCTCGCGGACCACAATCAGGTAGCCTACATCTACCAACATGACTCATCCCACTTGTCAGTGACTTCATGGATTTGTGCCATGTTTTGGTCTGGCCGCCCCTAACTTTCTTCCAACCTATTCCTACACGACAAAAAATAGCTCGTCGAGGCAGCCGGTGGTTAGCTATACGCAGCACATGTCCCAACCACCTCAACTGATGAAGTTTTACTACTTCATCTGTTGATTTGCCATCCTTAAATAGAACTCGTTTCCTAACGACAGCATTGCTTATACAGTTGTCCCACAATACTCGAGCAATGCTTCTTCAACATCTATGATCGACCATGTTTCACATCCGTATAGTAGGACGGAGCGAACTGCTGCACAGTACACTCGTCCTTCGGTTAGCAAGCGGATATCTTGCCTACGCCATAAGTGACGCAGGTTGGCAAAAGCCAATCGAGCTTTCTGTATCTGAGCTGAGATTTCGTCAGTCACCAGGCCATCAGCACTGATGAGACTCCCCAGATATGTGAAGCGGTCTACGCGTTCGACTACTTCACTCCCTATCACTAGTTCAGGTGCCGATGCAACCAAGTCTTGAAGCAACATTTTGCATTTCGAGAGGGAAAACCGCACCCTGAATATGCTTGCATTGTTGCTTAGGGTAGTCAGAAGACTCTGCATTTTGTCAGCATCTTCACCAAGTAGGACTATGTCATCGGCATATTCTAAGTCAATAAGCGAGCCACCTGGTAGAAGGTCTACTCCTGAAAATTCAGACGACGATAAGGTTATTTCTAGGAGCATGTCTATGATAAAATTAAACGAGAATGGGGAAAGTGGACATCCCTGACGGACACCACCTGAAGTGAAGAATTCCGGTGACATTTCGCCATAAGCTCTCACTCGACCAGTGGTGTTCGAGTAAAGAGCTTGCATAAGGTTAATGTACTTCTTTGGTACACCTTTCAATGACAGACACTGCCACAGAACCTCACGACCCACAGAGTCAAATGCCGTCTTAAGGTCCAGGAACACATCTACCGTCGGACGTCAAATGTGTGTCTGTGTTCCAGGACCTGTCGTAGTGTGAAGATGTGGTCTATACAGCCACGTCCAGGTCTGAAACTAGCCTGGTTTTCTCTAGTCTGCTCTTCACGATCTCTAGTTAGACGTCTAAGTATAATCGAGGCTAACAATTTAGAAACTATATTAGTTAGACTTATTCCCCTGTGATTGTCACAGGAGGACTTTTGTCCTTTCTTGTAGATTGGGACAGTGATTGAGACCAGTCGGATGGGATTACGTCCAGTTCCTAGATTCTACCGAAGATCTCAGTCAACCTAGCTGCTAAAACTGGACCACCATCCTCAAACATCTCAGGGGTCAGTCTATCAGGACCTGCTGCTCTCCCTCGCTTCAAATTTCCAATACGTTTCTCAACTTCATAAAGACTAAGGGGACTTACGTCGACTTACCATTCAGGATGATTGGAGATCGTGAGTAACCGAAATATGGCCGAAGGCCAGTTGAACTGATCCCTAAAGTATTCTGCCCATCGGTCCAGTCTCCTGGATTGAGAATTAATAATAGCCCCATCCTGTTCCGAGGTAGTCTCACGTACAGTAGGATTCTTAATTCCATCTCTCTCGCTTTCGCCACCCACCATTATTCACGGTCGTTGCTTGAGCCTACGCTGACTTCGTTTTTCATCATGTTCAGGGCCAGGTGGGATGAGTTTTCGAGCATACATCATTTCGGTGGATGCTACTGAAATCTACGGCTTCATTCTAGTCTTATGGTTAAGCTTACTAGCAGATATCACTGCTGTTTCCACAGCCTTTTTGATATCATTCCAACCTGCCACTGGGTGCGAATCGCTTACGTGGTTGCCTAACTCTATTCCTAGTTGCTCCTTAAATATATTCTTAACTTTATTATCATTAAGTAAAACCCTATGAATGTTACACTTGGCAGTAATGCTGTCATGGCAATATTCCTACAGAAGTATCTCATAAGGAAATATATTAACTGATCTCTGACCATAAATATAAACCACGGAGCAACCTAAATCTTTCAGATACTGGTTTTAACCATGAATCCAAATAGCAATGTTTGAATTCATCACCATTATGAGTTGCTACTCCCCGGGTTTTCCAGTATATCATAATCGGGGATAGGACTGTTCGCAATGTAGTCATAACTAACCTTCTTAATAAATTGATGCAATAGCTGTAAATCAGTTCGTTCTTGACTATGGAAATAATGTGCTCCTTTCTTTTCTAAAAATACTTTGAAATAACTGTGGTTCAATGAATGACAAGATAATGTATACTGAATATCGAATTCCGAGACTGATTATATAGTTTGATATCTTATTTTAATAGAGTATACATGGCTCTATGTGATGTATGTTCTGATGAAAATTTTCTTCAAATGATTTAAATATGATAATTAAAAAAGCAATTTTGATACCCATATTTTAAAGTCGTAAAAAAATAACTGGGTTTTTAGTAAGTTATTAAATCATTGCTAAAAAAGTTAGGGATATGAAATTAACGTAAATAAATGAAATATGTAAATAGACATGTTTGATGTAATAAATTAATAATGCATTTCTAATATCCGCATAAATAAAAAACCTGAATTTCTGAAGTTTCGGAAGCTAGTTCATGGAGCGACTTAAGCGAATAGAAATGACATTTATGGTTTAGACCGTCATAGGAATCATGTGATGTGAGACAGAAGAAATCGATATGCTACTAAACTTTTTTTCGATTTGGGCTGAATTAAAAATTGATACTTTTATTTATTCGAATAGATTCTAGTGCGTATTAAAAGAGATATTTATCAAATGATCACTTGATCTATTCAGTATTCTCCTTGACAAAATATACTAATAACGGAGAACTGATTTTCAGATCATAGTCATTCGTAAACTAAACAATTTATAGCGTAATATGCAGCTTAGTATTCATTGAATATAAACTAAACGCCTTTTGGACAGAGGAATAATACTTTTTGGACTTGTTCTGTTGCAAATTTAGTGTTTTAGATTACTTATGTATATTATATGGACAATTTCTTTTACTAGTGTGATTTTAAATAACGAAAACATATCAAATGTTTTGCTAAGTTTATCTGATGAATCTACGCAATCGAACTGTCGAGACTATCAAGACAAATATTTAAATCTGGGTGGTTATTCTTCTAATTGTCTTTTTCACATTCATTATTCAATCTTCGGATCTAATTATGGTATAGTAAATTTATCATGAACATTTTAAGTCTAAAAATGGTGTCTGAAATATTTATTTCAGGAGGATCATTGACGATTAATAGGCTTAACACTTGCTCTTAAGTCAGTCAGTCAGCTACAACGTAGAACTTCATACGTACGTACATCAGTTCAAGTTGTTATACCACATTAGCAAACAGAGATCGAATC